TCTCTTCCGGTTCCCAGTCGGAATGGGGGTCCGCCTCGCGGCCGATTGGGCCTGGCCCCGCCACCCCCCGGGTCGCGAACCCACAGCGAGCGACAGCAGGGCGGACACGCACGCCCAGCAACAGCCTCAGGGTAACCGCCATGTCGACGCAAACAAGCCTTGAGCAGGCCGCGACGAAACAACCGGAAGCTTGAGGGCGGGGCCGGAAGTGGGAAGGCGGACCCGGAAGCGAGAGGGCGGGGCCGGAGGCGGGGGTAGCCGACTGGAAACTAATCGCAGGTGTATTCTAGGCTTAAACTGGTCTGTGGTTTGGTTTTAACTGTGGAGTGGGCTTTCCTGAAACACGAGGGCCGAAATGAGGTACAGGACGCGCCTGGAAAACGAAATAAACTTTAATAAAAAGACGAATTAAATTGCTAAGGGCCGCCCCTGTGCCCCAGCGGCTGGCCAGGGGCCTGCCGGTTTCCGCCTCTGCGGCGAGAGGGGCGCCTCTCCTACGGTGACAGCGAACTGCCTTGGGCATTCGGCTACTCGGAAAGGGGCTTCTGGCCTCCGGGATGGCCTCCAGCCCCAGTCCGCACCCAGGATTTAGGCCCGTCACCTAGCAATAGACCCAGGCCGAGGCTCGACGGAGATGAGTACATGGCCAGCCTGGGCTCTTCTTTATCGTTTAGTCAGTACCGATCCCCAAACCAGCCTTGGTGTGAAGAATTCTTGGTGTCTTTGTGTGTTGCCTTGTACAAACAGGATTCCTGGCCAGGGTTTTTGAAACTGGAACTTGGTGGCAAGTCTTTTCATTTAGCAAAGATTGGAGGCCCTTTGCCCCCTTAGAAATCTCAGGGGGTGCTCCAGGAGAGGTCGAGTGCTGGGCTGTGCTCCTGCCTTTTTATCTATGCTGACTGACGTTGAGGAGCGCGCTGGAACGCTGCAGCGCGGGTGCAGAGGCAGGGCAGAGGGTGAGGTTCTGCGCTTTGGCTGCTCTGCGTTCAGAGTTTACCACAGAGGGCAAGGTGCATTCAGTCCATGAGTCACGTGTCACTCTTTCAGTCACGTGTCACTCTTGCCCGTTGTAGAACATAGCCCTGCTTTGGGGTTAAAGTGGGTGGCACTGATCCCGCCAGGGCTCGGTTTATGGCTTCTAGCCTTCTGCTGGCTTGGCCTTCTGCAGTGGAAACATGGATCCCCCTGAGTTGGTACTCACAGAAGAGATTTCCTCACCTCCTCAACTGTGGTCCAGTTACCAACACAGGAATGGCATCCTGTGCTTCCCCTCCAGCGTCTTTACCATCTTGTATTGTAACTTGTGTGTTTACTCAGCTGTTTCCCTGTGATCATTGTTGAATGCTGGGACTGTATTTCTGCTACTTCTATAACCAGGGTCTAGTGCATAGACAGGTGAATAAGTGGGTCCACGACCTCCCCCATTCCCACACTGCTGGAAGTGCCATATTACATTTTGGGAGTATCCCAGCTATGATACTTGCTAGTGGGAATTTACACAGGTCAAAGTGACCAAAGCTAATTTTGTATACTTACGCCTGGTGAGTCTGATTCTGGCACTGGAAAAATAGCGCCTCCCAGATTTCTTCAGTGACAATGAACAAGGCCCGATAGCTGCTGAATCTATCCACTTGAAGCTCTTGGGCTGCAGATGGCACCGGGTAGGATGTGGAATTCCAATATTCATGCTTGGCAGTGGCCCTAAGATCCTGGGGATCAATTCATGGGTCCGAACTGGATGCAGGAAATGAGGAGGGCCCTGTTCTGTGGCAGCTCCTTTCAAGAGCACCAATGGGACCAGACTCACAGATTGCAGTTCTTGACTGCCCAGCCCGTCGTGAAATCTAGGCTAGAGGAGAAGAGCAGCCCCTTACCACAGTTCTTGTAAGACTGAATGGAGTGTTCGAAGAAATCGGTAACTGAAAAATTTCTTCTAGGCTGTAGCCACTATTTAACCAGTTTTTCCTTAGGGGTTCAGCAAAAAAAAAAAAAAATCACTCCTTAGGGGTTCAGCAAAAAAAAAAAAAAAGAAAGAAAAGAAAAGAAAAATCCCAGAAGACCCACAGGTTCGCTACTAGCCCAGGGAATAGTGAATGCAGCAGCTGTTTTGTTGGCCCAAGACTGTTTACTTATCTCCCATTAGAGCCAGGGCACTGGCAATGCCTGGGAGAAAATCACACAGAAGCCACGGAAGGTGGTGGCCTTGTTATCTGTCGGTCCTGAGACAGGATGATAGAGAGCGAGTCTCTTGTAAGTGAGAAGGTTGGGAGCTGCACTTTGCTTGTTGTCCTTAGCTAAGACAAGGGAGCTTGGGAACAGATTGAAAAGGAACCAATAGACCCTCTCCCAAGGCCCAGTATACTCTGCTCTCCCAGGATCCACTGACAGATACCATCACATAAGCCTCCTTTGGCGTGACCACCACCATGTTCTGGTACCAGAGCCCTTGTTCCCTTGTTCTGTGGGAGGCTTCGTAGGGACCCTCACCCGATACTCATGAAGTTTTTTCTGGCCCCGGTGGCTGGGGTATAGCATTCGGTTGAGCTGCTCTACAATACCCAGACTTCGAATGAGATTCTCCCTTTGTAGCAGGCCCTTCATCCGCTCTAGCTCCTCCTCTTCCACAATTTCTTGAGGCTGCATGGTGTCCAGGTGTACTGGTAGCAGCTACAAGGTATATGAGAGAGAAATGCAAGATCTCAGGGATGAGTCCCCAACCAGTGAAAGGATGGCTGTGGGACTCTGCCCACTCCATCTCCACTTCTCCCTTAACTCTAGCATAAGGTTCCCTTTGCTAGCCATTCTCTCACTTGCTGTTCCAAAAGGTCAAATTCAACTTCCTAATTAGGAGCTCAGTTCTTAGGCAAGGGTAGGAGAGGACAGCAGAGAGTCCCTTTGCTAACAGTCCCATTCCAATTTCCTATAGAAAGATAAGAGCCACCAAACCCCTTCACCTCTTGGTTCCGGTTCCGGTTCCTGTATGCCAAGTGAGTGGAAAGGCCCCGGGGCCCTGCCCTGCATCGGCTCTTTTCCCCAGCTGATTCACCCTGGTTCTGGTCCTTGTTTTCCTTTCGCCTTCTAATGCCTGCAGTCTCCTGTTGTTCCTGCTTAAGGCGGATCTCTTCCAGTTGCTGCCTGACAAGACACAGTAGCTTCAGACACTAGAAATTGTGTACAGGAAAAGGAGGGTGAGGAAAAATAGGAATGGGGAAAGAGAAGGAATCAGGACCTGCTCTGTGGTCTAATGGGACAGGAATGAGGGACAAGATGAGAAACCTACTAAATGGAAAGAGTCATTAAGAGACTGATAAAAATCAGGGACAAGAAGTGATGTAGCTGTAACACAACTGAACAACATGAGAAAGGTCCTCATTCAGGTCCTGAGGCCTCCTTGAGCATGGTGAGTGCATACGTGTGCGCCGTGATCGGGGTGGTTCACATTGTGAAAACCCTGCTGGGGGTCCCTCTTTCTGTCTCACTTCCACAGAAGAAATAAACTTTTGTTTTTGTTTTGTTTTGTTTTTAGAATTATTTATTTATAGGGGCCAGCAGGCGGCATTGAGGTTAAGGATGCTGGACTCCTACATGGCTGACTGCGGTTCCAGTCCTGGACCTGGTGGCTTGCTTTCTCACTTCCTCCCACCCTCTCTCACTCCATTCCTCTCTGGTCAAATTAAAATAAAATAAAGTTAAGTAAAATCTAAAAAAAAAAGAAACCAGGAATTATTGATTATTTTTAATTTGCCATTGGGCACAGGCACTCACCAGAGAGAGACAGAGATAGAGGGGGGAAAGGGTAAGTGAGAAAGCAAGCCACCAGTTCTGGTACTTGAACTGCAGTCGGCTATATGAAAGTCTAGCACCTTAACCACAATGCCACCTACTGGGCCCAGAAATAAACTTTTTAAAAATGTCTTAGAAAATGTATAGCTCTATTCCTTGTTCTGTAAGTGGCTCCTCTCCCCCTTCGGGAAGCAATGCAGCTTCAAGACTGGCCCACACAAGACAGTGCAGGGCAAAGTACCTGGCACACTCCTCTCTGGCCTTGGAAGCAGCCGTCTCCTGGAAGAGGGAGCCATTGTGCTTGAAGAAGGGTGCATACTTCTCGGTGTCAGGCCCAGGGTAGATCCTCCGGTATCCCCCCAGGTGGGAATCCTCATATCGCTCCTGGTCTAGCATTGCTGCTTGGGATGACTCGATTTGTTCTCGCCTGTGGAAAGCAAGTTCAGGGTGAGTTCAAGGAAAGTTGTGAGAACATTCAGTAGTAAAGAAAGGCTGCCTAAGGTTTTGAGAACCTCCTGCTGCGTCAGCCCTGTAGCCTAGTGGTTAAGGGAGCTGGATCCCACATGGCCCAATGTGGTTCAAGTCCCAGCACCTATGGCTTGAAACGCACACCTGGCACATGTGCCTGTGTTTGCTCCAAGTTCCGACAGGATAGAAAGATGGAGGAGAAGGGATTGTGTTGTGACCATGACCCACTGGGGGAACTTTCTCCCCCTCCCCAACCCCATCTATCTCCGGCAAGGACACATTTCCTCTGGCAATTAAAAAATAAAATAAAGAGAACCTCTCCTACTGGCTTCTTAGCCTTCTGGGTCCCTGTCTGTGAGAGGAAAGCCCATCTATGACCAGTAGTTTTCAGTCATTTGTCCCCACTGAAAGACATGATTTGGGAGGGCCAGAAGGTGGTGTGGTGGTTAAAGCGCTGGAAAACTCCCACATGGCCAACCACGGTTCAAGTCCTGGACCTGGTGGCTTGCTCTCTCACTTTCCTTCTCTCTCTGTGTGTTCCCTCTGATCAAATTGAAATAAATGAGTGAATAAATAAAAGTAAATAAATAATTCTTTTTAAAAAAGACATAATTTGGATTAAAAGACATGATTCAAGCCAGGCAGTGGCATAGTGGTTAAGTGTCTGGATCCCACATGACTGACTGGGTCGTTCAAATCCCAGATCCAGCAGCTTGAACAATAAGCGGGCCACATGTGCCTGCATGCCCAGAATCCCTGGGGGAGAATGGAGAAGGGATTTCAGCTTGGCCATCCCTGCTGGGAGTTTTCTCACTTTCCCTCTCTATCTTTTTCTGTCTCTGGTGAGTGCATGTAACCTATAGCAAAATTAAAAATTCTATTATGAATAAAGAATAAAAATTTGGGACCAGCAGTTAGCGTAATGGCTATGTCGTTGGACTCCCATGTAGTCGACCGCGGTTCGCGTCCCGGACCTGGTGGCTTAAAACTCACACCGGGTGCGTGTGCGTGCGTGCCCAGGATCCCGAGAGGAGAAAGGAGGAGAAGGGATTGCGGCGTGGCCATCACCCCTGGGGGGTGATTTCTCGCTTTCTGTCTCTCTGTTTCTCTCTGTCTGGCGAGTGCACGTGCCCAATAGCAAAAACCTCTCCAAAAAAAAAAAAAAAAAGAATAAATTTTTAAAAAAATTTTAATAAAAGTAAACCAGCTAATCAAACACATGAAATTCCTATGCTTTAACATGAAAATGGCTCTAAAATATATTGCTAAGCAGAGGGCAGAGTGTGTGAAAATTATGCTACTATCTGGTTGGACAAGGGAGACAAACATTTCACCTAAGTACATATATATGTACATTAAGAGCCTGTAAAAATATGAAGGAACTTCAGAGAGTTCATAAAAAATGGAATTTAGCATGAGTTTATTTTGGCACCTCCCCCATCAAAAAAAATTGAAACCCACACAGTTGTTTCAATAATATACCTTTTCCACTAATTTTTTGAAGACAGCCTCATAAACACATGAAAACACTAGGAACATTGATTGGCACCAGAGAGGAAAACTGAACAGTGGTAGGAAAATGATAGGAGACAGACCGTTCACTGTATAGCTTTTGAATTGTGAACACATTATATCTATGCAAATGTAAATATATTATTCTTTTTTAAAAGAATTATTTCTATTTAACTTTATTACTATCACTTTTTAAAGAATTATTTTATTTAACTTTATTTATTCATTCATTTATTTCATCTTAATTTGACCAGAGAGGGATGGAGCAAGAGAGAAAGAGAGTTAAAGAGAGAGCAAGCCACTAGGTCCAGGACTTGAACCGTGGTCAGCCATTTGGGAGTCCAGTGTCCTTAACCACCGCGCCACCTGCCAGTCCTATCATTATTTTTTTAACTTGACAGACAGAGATAGGGAAAATGAGAAAGCAAGCCACCAGTTCTGTGATTCAAACCATGATTGGCCACGTGGGAGTCCAGTGCTCTCAACTACCACGCCACCTGCCGGCCCCATCGTTTGTGTTTTTTTTTTTTAATGACCAAAAATTATTTAAATTTTTTCAGATTTTTACCATAGGGCACATGTGCTCATGGAGAGAGACAGAGAAAGAGGAAAAGTGAGAAAGTACACCCTATGGGGGATGATCAGGCTGCAGTCCCTTCTCCTCCATTCTCTTCTTGAGATTTTGGGTACAAACACAACCACACGTGCCTGGTGTTTTTTTGTTTCTGTTTTTTTTTTAAGAAAGATTTTTGCTATAGGGTGCGTGCACTCAACAGAGACAGAAAGAAATAAATCACCTACCAGGGGGGATGGCCACGCCACAATCCCTTCTCCATTCTCCTCCTGGAATTTTGGGTGCACACGTGCCCAGCGTTGAGTTTGAAGCCACCAGGTCTGGGACTTGATCCGTGGTTTGACTACATGGGAGTCTAGCAATGTAACCATTATACCATCTGCTGGTCCTGTGGCCAGCATATTTGTCAAGCTATCCAGCCAGGATTAGAACAGCAGAGTCAGAGATATGGGAACCAGGACCTTAACCACTATGCTACCTTCTGGCCCAGACCAAATTTTTTATATATATATATATTTTTTTTTTTTTTTGAGAGAGAGATTTTTGCTTTAGGGCACATGCACTTGCTGGAGAGACCTACAGGAAGTGAGAAATCACTCCCTAAGGGGGATGGCCACACTGCAATCTCTTCTTTTCCAATGTCTTCTCAGGACTTTGGGCATTCGCACACACAGACACCTGGCGTGAGTTTCAAAACTCCAGGTCTGAGACTTGAACTGTGGTTGGCCACATGAGAGTTCAGAGATGTAACCATTTTACCATCTACTGGCCCCTCAAGTATTAATTTTAATAGCTAATCATCCCCATGCTTCTCCTTTTATTTGTATTTATTTTTTTTTAATTGCCAGAGAGATTCTAAGCTTACCAGAAAGAGACAGAGAGACAGAGGAGAGAGGGAGAAAGCACTCCCCAGTAGGACATGAACTTATGTCACAATTCCTTCTCCATTTCTCCATCCTGTTGGGATTTGGATCATGCATATGCTCCTAGGATGTTTTTCAAGCCCCTGGGACTGAGATTCAAATTATCAGCCATGTGAGACATTTAACCACAAGGCTACAGGGCTGGCCCACCTTCTCATTTTTGAGAAGGATTTTTTACTTTTAGGAAAATAAGAAAAGTTGCACAGCTAAACATACGTCAGGCTCCTGGTGCATCTGGATTCTCGTGGTGTTTGGTGAAATTGGAAAAGCCGCTCTTTGACTCGCCGCTTGTCCTCCTCCATCACCTTCCTTTTGTCACAGCCCCGGAGGTTGATAAGGGTCATGGCATCACAGAGAAGTGCATCCTTCACCTCTCGATCAAGGCGTGAGTCCGTGGTGAAGCTTGGAGAGTGATTTACCTGGCAGGAGGAAGCATTATCCACCCTCTTCCTAGACCATGAATAAGTAGTAGTCTCCTACAGGCCTAACTAGAAGGTCTACAGAGACATCCTCCTCCCCTGACTTCAGCCAAGCTGGAAGCTCTGGCTTCTGAGGCTACAAGATCCTACCATAGAGAACCCTCCCATCCCTAGGCTGGCCAGAGCAAAACAGAAGGCCTGATTCTACAGGTACAATGTCCTTAAAGGCAAGGCTTACCTCAGGAGCACTGGGCATCCATAACCTTGCTTCCTACGATCAAGGCCAAAGACCACTGGGATCTGACTCAGCAGATCAAAAGGGTAGAGAATGTAGGCCTTCTGCTGGCTCCCACCCATTCTGGGGCTTCCACAGCCCCCTCTCCCCATTCTGTTTTCACTGAGTGTATCCCATCCCAGGTATCCTGTTGAAGGAGGTCTCTGGACCTCGTTTTGCATAGTCCAGGAGAGAATCCTCACCTCCAGCAGCCAGGGCTTCAGCTTGTGGTCCAGCAAGATGTCAAAACCAAGGATCTCAAAACAGGCACATGTACCTCCACTCAGGTACTGGGGGAAACAGGTTCGGTAGTTGTGGCGAAGAACAGAATGGGCCGAGATGATGGTTTTGATGATGATGTCCTCGATGTCCCCCCACAGCTCTCGGGGGTCATAGCTGTGCTCCCGCAGCCAGGCGTTGAGTGTCGACAGCTTCCTGTGAGGCCCAGTGCTCAGAGGAAGACCGATTTCTCTGCCAGTGGGGCCTGGCCGCAGGCAGGAGATTCCCTCATGCTAACACTAATGCCATGCCTGGGCTCCCGTTATATAAGGGGCTGCTAGCAGCTTCAAGCTGGGATTTGTCATCCCTGTAGGACTCGGCACTACCACTTAGGCCTGAGGCACAGGGCAAGGGTCTGGGCTGTCAGCCAGTCGGCCTCCCAAGAGCCAGTTTGCCTTCATGGACTACGGAGATACCGAGACGTGGTGCTACGGGGCCGAGGAAGCAGGAGAAAACAGAGTAGGGAGTACCTCTTACTGCCCACGGCATCGTCCCGGACAAAGTTCTCGTTGTGTTTGTTGATAGCATAGTTGGTCAAGTGCATACAGACATCATCCTGGGAGAAGAGTGACCCTGTGCTCTCAGACCGCTTCCATGAAGCCCTCCTGGCCAGCCCTGTGTTGCTTCTTTATTACCCAGCCCTCCCCAGGACTGTGTGTCTCCTGTCCTGTGACATCCTGAGGAAAGGGGTGTGCCAGGCTCCTCTGGATGAGGACCTTTTCTCCATCACGGCCCACCAAGTGCTGCAGGGCTCACTGACTTCACTGCTTGTCTTGGTGACAGTGACAAACTTCTCTACCTGGTTTCTCAGGTAGAACCTCAGCACTCATGGCAGTGCAAGAGAAGAGGGTTCAAGCTAGTGGGTGGCTGGGTGGTTAAAAGCACTGGATCTCACATGGCTGACCACGGTTGAAGGACCATACCTGGTGGCTTGAAAAACATGCCAGGCACATGTGTGCATGCCCAAAATCCCAAAAGAAGAGAGAAATGGAGAATGGATTGCAGCGTGACCATTCCCCATCAAGGGTGCTTTCCCACTCTGTCTCTGTCTAGAAAGTGCATGTACCTTCAGGCAAAACTTAAACGAGAGAGAAGAGGGTAGTGTCCCACCCCTTACCAAGTTGTTAAGGCTGGGCTCCATGTAGGGCATGGTTGCAAAGCGGGCCAGGCCCTCCTCGTACATGAAGATCCGAAGAGGGTCACAGGATGTTATCAGGACATAGATTCGCATGTCAAACTTGAAGCCATCGATGAGGAAGGGCTGGGAGCACACAAACCCAGGCAGATCATAATGACACTGGAATTACTTACTATAGGCCTCACTCACACTGCTGTAAGTGCTCTGCGTTATGTCACCACTGATTTATGTCCCACAGTAACTACGCCATCTTATTATCCCCATTTAACAAGTGCAGGAGTGGAACACAGAAAGGATGAGAAACCTGCGCAACAAACTTTGTCTGCCTAGGAAGTGGAAGAGCTGAGGTCCAAATCCAGGCAGGCTGGCTCTGAGCTGTGGCCCTATCCTGCCTCCCACATAACAGGGTATAGCAGAAGAAGTAGGAGCCTACAACCAGTTTCCCCCGTGGCTGTGGAGGAACAGGGTGCCCAGTACAGGGGGAGGGAACTGGTGGTCCTGAGGCATCCTTCACCTTGGAGATGTATTGCTGGCAGATCATGTGCTCTCCTGGCTTGATCTCCCGGGGATTTCGGGTGATGAAGATGCCCCGTCCCTGACAGCCACTGTCTGGCTTGCAGATATAAGTGCGGGTTTTTCGCTGACGGCCATAGGACTGAAAGTCCCCGTAGCTATGTGCAGAGAGGAGTTGGTCAAAAGGTTTCTGTGAGGGGCCTGCAGGTGGCGTGGTGGTTAAGGGCACTGGACTTCCACATGGCCCACTGTGGTTCGAGTCCTGGACCTGGTGGCTTGCTGTCTCATTTTCTTTTTCTTTCTCTCTCTTCCTCTGGCCCTTTCTGGTCAAATGAAAATAAATAAAGTTAAATAATTTTTTTTTAAAAAAAAAGGTTTTTCTGCCTGGTGGCTGTCCCATGGCCCAGGGGAGCTCTCCATGCTAGCTTATTATCCATGCTCCTCCAGGAGTTCTCAGTCTCAGACCTACTTGTCTTGGACCTGCTGCAACTTTCTCGTTTTACTTCATCCCTCTGAGACATGGCCAGGTCACAAGACCTGAGTCCAGAGAGACCTTGGAGGGTGATCTCTGCTCTCCCCTGGGATCTCGCCTGGGGAGTTGGGCTCACTCACTCTGCAGGGAGGCACCAGGTGCGAGGGAAGATGCTGTACTCGGCGGGGTAGAGTCTCTGCATGCGGTTGAGGTTCCGAGCCAGCAGGTCTTTGCGGCAGATTTCCGTCATGCCAGGGAAGTGGTTGATTTTCTGAAATAAAGTCAGTTGGTCTTACTTTTCATTTATTTATTTATTTTATTATTTTTATTTTTATTTTAATGTTATTTATTCATTTATTCATTCATTAATTTATTTTAATTTGACTTGAGAGAGACACAGAGAGAAAGAGGGAAAGTGAGAAAGCAAGCCACCAGGTACAAGACTCAAACCGTGGTTGGCCGTCCAGAGCCTTAACCACCATGCCACCTGCTGGTTCCCAATTTATTTATTTTTAAATAATTATAATTATTTAATTCCATTTGTTATTGTTATTTTAATTTGACCAGAGAGAGACCGAGAGAGAGAGAGAAAGGAAAGAGAGAAAGCAAGCTGCAAGGGCTGGGACTCAAACTGTGGTCAGTCATGTGGGAATCCAGGACCTTTAACCACCATCCCACCTGCCAGCGCCATTTATTTTTTTAAGAATTATTTTAGGGACCAGCAGTTAGCGTAACGGCTATGTCGCTAGACTCCTATGTAGTCGATGGCGGTTTGAGTCCCGGACACGGTGGCTTAAAACTCACACCGGGGGTATGTGCGTGCGTGCCCAAGATCCCGAGAGGAGAATGGAGGAGAAGGGATTGCGGCGTGGCCATCCCCCCTGGGGGGTGAATTCTCACGTTCTGTCTCTCTGTTTGTCTCTGTCTGTCTGGTGAGCGCACGCGCCCTATAGCAAAAACCTCTCCAAAAAAATTATTTTATTTAACTGTATTTATTTATTTAATTTGACCAGAAAGGGACATAGTGAGAGAGAGAGAGAGGGAAAGTAAGAAAGCAAGCCACCAGGTCCGCAATTTGAACTGCAGTCGGATATGTGGGAGTCCAGTGCCCTGAACCACCACACCAACTGCTTGCCCCCTGGGTCCGGGACTCGAACTGCAGTTGACTACATGGGGGCCCAGCGACGTAACCACTACACGATCTGCTGGTCCCTTAAGCATGGCGTTTATGAGCCTTGGTGTCCTCTTCTTAACAGGAAGAGCTGTTGCTCAGGGCTGTTTCTGAGGATTTCATGAAGTGGCAATGAAAAAGCACTTAATGCAGTTTCTGACATGTAGTAAGCCCTCAATAAATGCTGTTAATTATTGCAATCCTTATGTTTTATTCTATTTTATTTTTTGAGAGATTTTTGCATGTGCATTCACCAGAGAGACAAAAAGCAAGAAATCACCCTTTAGCAAGATGGCCACTAATCCCTTCTCCTCCATTCTCCTCTTGGGATTTTGGGCAAGCACGCACATGCACACACATACACACACACACGCACGCACACACCCTTCGTGTGAGTTTCAATCTGCCAGGTCTGGGACTTAAACTACAGTAAACCATGCGGGAGTCCAGCACCTTAACCACTACACCACCTGCTGGTCCTACAATTCTCATCTTGCGACTGCTCCCTGCAGGCCCTCCTCTGGAGCTTCCTGAATACATCTAGCATTTACTTTCTCTCTTGCATACTTCTCCTAAGACTAATTGTGGGACAGATTATAGTCTCTGCAATTCCCTTGTTGGCTTCTCCCAAAAAAATACAAATACAGGGTGTCTCCTTAGCACAGCAGTCAAAGCACTGCTCAGAGAAAGCTGGATCCCACGTGGCTGACCAAGATTTGTGTCCTGGCCCTAGTAACTTGAAGCACACACCCTGCACATGCATGCATATTGCATGACAAGGATCCTGGAAGGACGAACAACTGGATAACAAAGGACTGCAATGTGACCAGGGACCATTGTAGGCATGCATATTCTCTGCCTCTCCCTTTTTCTCTCCCATGCATATACTTGCCCTCTGGCATTAAAAAATTAATAATAATTGTAAAGGTTAATGGAAAATGTGTATTATGAATCAACTATTGTGCTGGATGTTGGCATAGCAATAAAACAAGATGTTCTGTGAGGCTGACTCCTGTGAAAGGTTTCAGGTTCATGTCTGCAGACCTCTGAGTACATGGCCATGATCTAGCTGAAGCTACGAGTGGGCTGTGGCCTTGAGACCCTGTTGGGGGTGCTATTTCTCTCTTTTTTGCTCACAGAAGAAATAAATTATTTCTTTTTTGAGGGGAGGTTTTTGCTATAGGGCATGTATGCTCGCCAGAAAGACAGAAAGAGACAGAGAGACAGAAAGCGAGAAATCACCCCCCAGGGGAATTGGGCATGCACGCACACGTGCCCGGTTTGAGTTTAAGCCACTGGGTTCAGGACTTGAACTGCGGTCCCTTATATGAGAGTCCAGCAACACAGATATTATGCCAGCTGCTGGTCCCAGATGAAATAATTTATTTCTTTTTTTGGGAGAGGTTTGTGCTATAGGGCGCTTGCGCTCGCCAGATAGAGAGACAGAAAGCGATAAATCACCCCCCCCAGGGGGGATGGCCAAGTCGCAATCCCTTCTCCTCCGTTCTCCTCTCAGGATCTTGGGCATGCACGCACACATGCCCGGCGTGAGTTTTAAGCCACCGGTGCTGGGGTCCAGCCTCAATGGGGGTGGGTTGACTCGTTGAAGGCGGTGCGGGAAAAGAAGACAAAGGTCTTGGTGCCTTTTCATGCATGTCCTGAGTCGGATACCCCTCAGAGATCGCTCTCTGAAGAGTGACCTCTCTTAAACTTATGTTAAATGTATCTTGAAGGGCCTTCCAAACACCGGGTCTGGGATGTGAACCGCGGTTGACCACGTGGGAGTCCAGCGACATAGCCATTATGCTAACTGCTTGTCCAAATAAGTTATTTCTTAAAACAAAAGAAAAAAACCTATGCATGGATTTCATAAATGTTTTGCAACAAAATAAACCTGTAATTAAAAAAATTTATTGGGGCCTGCAGGTGGCGTGGTGGTTAAGGCACTGAACTCCCACATGGCCGAATGTGGTTTCAGTCCCAGACCTGGTGCTTTCCTATTTTCTCTCTCTCTCTGTCTGTCTCTGTCTCTGTCCCCCTGGTAAGTGCACATGCCTTAATAGCAATTAAAAAAAAAAAAGAATTATTTCACTTAACTTTATTTATTTATTTTAATTTCACTGGAGAGGGACAGAGTGAGAGACAGGGAGAGAGAAAGCAAGCTGACAGGTCTGGGACTCAAACCATGGTCAGCCATGTGGGGATCCAGCACCATTAACCACCATGCCACATCCCAACCCCTAAAACTTTTTAAAAAAACCATATGAGGCCAGCAGGTGGTGTGAAGGGTAAGGCTCTGGATCCCACATGACCAATGCCTTGATTTGAGTCCGAGATCTGGCAGCTTGAAAAATCATGTGCTTGCTGGAGAGAGAAAGAACAACAGTGAGGAAGCATCCCCCAGGGAAATGGCCCACCTCTCCCTCCTTTCAGAATTTTGGGCACACACACACATACACACACACACACACACACACATATGCTGGAGTGTTTCTCACGCCGCTGGGTTTCGGATTTGAACTGCACAGTTGGCCATGTGGGTTCCAGCTGCTTAACTACCACACCACCAGCTAGCCCAATTTGGTTTCTCTTGAGTAGTGCATTATCACTGCACCATGAAGCCAGCCCTCTACCTGTACTTGAATTCCACTTTTCTGTGATTTAAGTCTCCTTATAAACCTGTGGACACTTTTTAAATTATTTCACTGCTAATCACCAAAGACCCAACTAGCAGAGAATAAAGATGCTATGAAGCAGTCATACTTGTCTTGCAGATGCTGGTCCATCTTCCCTGATGTTGCTGCAGGCAGCACCCTATGCTTCTCTCTCTCTCTCTCTCTCGTTAGTTTTTTTCTATAGGGAGTGCATGCTTGCCAGAGAGAGAGAGAGAGAAATCACTCCCCAGAGGGATGGCCATGCTGCAATCCTTTCTCCTCAATCCTCTACTTGGGATCTTGGGCACACACACACACAAGTGCCCAGCGTGTTTTCAGCACCATGTGGGATTCAGCACCTTAACCCCCACAACACCTGCTGGCCCCTATTCTTCTTTTAGTGGGCCTGGGATGCCAGGCTGAGCTGCTAAGAAGTCTGAACCATTCAAGTAGCCCTGCTGCCTCCCTATGAAAGGCCCACCTGCTTTGGAAGGGCCAGCCAGACACAGATGCCACCAGACAGAGAGCAAACAATGAGACAGGAGGTGTCCACCACACACTTTCTTCAGATAACAAAACTCCAGAGATCCAAGAGGAGGATATTCCATGGGCGCAGAAGACCTCGGGTGGCCTTTCCCATCTGCACAGGGCTACAGTCATAAAGAGTGGAAGTTCTGGGTGGCTGGGCAGATAGGTGGGAGCAGTCATCCTGGGATTTTGGGCCCTTTAGGATCTTGGACCTGGAGGGGAGTACCTGAAACCTCTTCATGTCCATGACTCGTTCCAGGGAGACAGAGCAGTCGGTCCAGTACACTGTCCACTCTTCATCCTCTCCCACCTCCTTCAGGCCACACATCTGGGCTGCCCGGCGCACTGCACAGACAGGGAGGTTAGCAGTGCCAGCTGGACACCGACAACAAGTCCTGGGTTGAGTAATGAAAGAACCTGACTGAAGGAGGGAAAGCTGAACAGAGAGGCCATTCTGAGCTAGCTATTGGCATGGTGGTTAAGGCAGTTGGATCCCACATGGCCAAGTGTGTGGTTTGAGTTCGAGACCCTGTACCTTGAAAACCATGCCAGACGCATGTGTCTGCCAAAAAAAATCCCAAGAGAAGAATGGAGGAGATGGGAATGTGGGAGATGGGATTATAGAGTGGCCATTCTCCATTAATGGAGGCTTCTTCTTTTTTTTTTTTAAAGAATTATATTTATTTATGCCAGCAGGTAGCGTATTGGTTAAGGTGCCAGACTCCCACATGCCTAATGTGAATTTCAAGCCCAGATCCAGCGGCTTGAAATTCAAGCCAAGCACAATCACTTCTCCGTTCTCCTCTTAAAGTCCTGGGCATACACACTTGGCCTGAGTTTCAAGCCACCCAGTCTGGGACTCCAGTCACAGTTGGCCATGTGGGAGTCCAGTGCCTTAACCACCACACCACCCTCCAGCCCCTTCATGTTTTTAAAAATAATTTTATTTAACTTCATTTATTTATTTTAATTTGACCAGAGAGAGACAGAGCAAGAGAGAACAAAAGAGATGGAACGTAAGAAAGCAAGCCATTGGGTCCAAGACTTGAACCACGGTTGGCCATGTGGGAGTCCAGTGCTTTTAACCACCACACCACCTGCCAACCCCCATTTTTTCCCCTATAATATGCATTTTTCATGACCTCTTTCTTTCTTTCTTTCTTTCTTTCTTTCTTTCTTTCTTTCTTTCTTTCTTTCTTTCTTTCTTTCTTTTTTGAGAGGTTTTTTGCTATAGGGCGTGTGCGCTCACCAGAAAGGCAGAGAGAGACAGAGAGACAGAAAGCAAGAAATCACCCCCCAGGGGGATGGCCATGCCACAATCCCTTCTCCTCCATTCTCCTCTCGGGATCTTGGGCATGCATGCACACACGCCCAGTGTGAGTTTTAAGCCACCCGCTCCAGGACTCGAACCGTGGTCGACTACATGGGAGTTCAGCGACATAGCCATTACGCTAACCACTGGTCCCTTTCATGACCTTTTTGAAGATTCCTTGGAGGCCAATCTGATAAGATTTAGGATCTAGGAGACTGACAAGGGATCTGTCTCCAGAATAGGTCCCCCGTGCATGATGATGTGAATGATGAGAAAGAAGCTTACCACTCTCATACTTGCAGTTGGTCAGGTTGATGGCCAGGGGTCTGGAACAGAGGAAGAGCAGAAATCAGGCTGAGAAGGAGGGAAGGAGAGAGACTCTGGGGTGCCAGACACCCAGGTGAAAAGCTACCCAACAAATTCATGACACAATCTTCTCTAAAAGCTAGTGCTAGTTGAAGACCAGGATGATATAAACATGTTGGGATTCTAAACTGAGTCAGCCCAAATGACTCTGAATTTTGTTGTTGCACCAAAAAGACTAATGATGCTCCAGCATTTTCTCTCTTCTCTCACAGGCTAAAGGGAAGACCCCAGGAGACCGAAAGGAGGCTAGGAGGTAACTCTCTGAAGCTGGGTAGGTGCAGGGATCCAGGAAATGGTTACCTGCGTTTTCGCTTTCTCCTTCTCCTCCCAACTTCTAAGTCATTTGTGTCAGTGGGGGCTGTGATTTTTTTTGGAATTTTTTTGGCTACAACTGATAAGGAGACCCCGTTGTCAAATGCCTTGTAGTCAGCCTTTGCAAGTGCCTGCTGCGTATGGCTAGAAGGGGTGGTAGTTTCCTCTTTATCACACTCCTCCTCGGATTCCTCTTCTTCCACTAAATCTTCCTCCGACTCACTGGTCTTAGAGGCACTTGGCTCCATGCTCTTAGATTCTGAGGGGAGGGGAGTGGGAATGAAATACATTATCAGATCTTTCTCTGCCTTGCTGCCTGGAGACATCCACCCAAAGGAACTTCATGGTGTTATAAGGGAATACTGCTGCCCTTCAGAACAGAACAATCCTACTGAAGAATAAGATGTTTCCAGGTGTGATGGGGTGTGTATGAGGGGGATAGGGTGTGAGATATAAATGCCCTGACAAGCCTCAATCATCCAGGGTCAGGCTGGATCCTACAACACACTGGGTGCATGCTGAGGTTGGACAGGGCTTTCTGCAACCATGGCCTTTTTGCTCCTGAATGGGAAGGGTGACATCTGGAAAGACTATAGGGATCTCTGCTTTAAAATACAACTGAAGGGCCAGCAGATGGTGTGGTGGTTAGAGACGCTGGACTCCCATAAGGCGGACGGTAGTTCAAGTCCAGGCCCTGACAGCTTGCTTTCTCATTCTTCCTCTCCTTCCCTCTCTGGTCAAATTAGAAACAAATAATAATGATTATAAGTAAAATGAAATGAAATAATTGTTTAAAATACAGCTGAAGACTGAAGGTCCCCTAAGCTGGCCTTTTCCCAGTCCAAGACTTGGTTTCTCCATGTGTACACACTGGGGCCAGGCACCAGATGGCTAAGACCCTAGGCTCTTGACAGCAGGGGTAAGTCCAAGGCAGACACTGCCCACCGAAGTTGGGAGGAGAGCTGGGTGCTGGGTCCGCCCCTAGCGGCCTGGGGACGGACTCAGCTGGTCACTCATGTCCACCCTCCGCCTGGCTCCTGCTCTCCGCAAGCGCTGCGGGGCGTCAGGGACCGCCTCCTAGTTCCACAGGACGGGCTGTCTCCGCCGATCGCTATGGGG